ATTCACAATGCGTGATTCCAGATTTTAGTTTGTTTCATAGATCCACGACACCCGATGACGCATTAAAGAAATTGTCTTGTGATGCATCAAGAAAATCTATAACACTTTCGTCATTCGCTCTGTAGTATTCTTTAACTGATATGCGCGTCGTTGCGGGGGTTACGCGACCGCCCATGCCATGAAATGTCAACAGAATGAGCTTGTGATCAGAGATACACTCTTCAATACTTATTTGTGGTGTTAATGAGCCAGACACAAATGCAAGATCAAGCACTGAACATGCCGACCCGTGGATGCGAGTCGGTTCTATCACCAGCTGTGTCAACGAGTAACTAAACATAATGTCAAAAAATATACCTGAACCTTTAACAGTAGTATTTTCAATGGCAAAAGTGTCCCAGTTTCTTCCCGGCATATTAATATCACCAGTAAGTATTAGTTTCATTCGCTCACCTACACAGCTATGAAGAAAGTTCTGTAGCTTTACAAGGTATTCATCAGGAGCACCCGGAAACCGGTATACTCCATCATTCAACACAGGGAGTTATTAATAAGGATTGAACACCACACATTTTCGTGACCAGCAATGCCACTTTCTTTTTGAAAAGACGTGTTTCGTTTAATGGCGATGGCTACGCCCCCGCCGGCCATCCCCATCTGTGCGAAACAGTACGTATGCTGGTGGCACTATCTCTGAATCGTGAATATCAGGGTTTAGCCACATTTCCGTAATGACCACTAGATCAGGTCCGTACAAAAGCAACAGTTCTTCCAACTGCTGTGTTTTGTTTATGATACTTCTTGCATTAAAGCAAAGCAGCGTAAGTGGCTCTTTTGTTTTCTGTCATGCTTGAGAAGTGTTTGCCTTCTTGTGACCATCGGTACGGGCAGCTTTCACAGCTACCATTTTATTTTCTATCTCATTCCATGTGAAGCATTCTCCGTTGATTTCAAGTTTGTCGTAAACTAGTGTAACCTTATCTCCGTTACTGCGATTCAGCGCAGATGCCTGCCACAGCTTCCTCCGAGTTTCACGAACAAACTTAGAATAGTCTTCCGATACAGATATGGCTGTATTTTTAGTTTATAACAGTTTCGTAATACCAGCATTTTTCTGCAAAATCATAGAAGTGCAATATAACCGGTCGGTCGCGGTTAGGCTTCCGAAGACCAAGCTTGTGCACACGCTCAACAGATTTCACTTCGATGCCCAACATTTCAGAAAATATTCCTCGCGTCACAAGTTGTTGCACCATTTCTGGTTTTTGTTGTTTCTTTAAGGCCATAAATAATGATATTGTTATGGTGGCTTCTATTTCCTAGTTCTTCTATTTTGTTGTGCATTTCAGTGAACTCACTGCCCGTAGCCGATACGGTTGCTTCACATTTTTCTGTGTTCTCCTGACATTGCTTTAATGACATAAGGGTACCTTCAATTTGAGATAGCCTTAGCTGGACATCTTTAAGACCTCTTTCAAGAGCTGTATGAGATAGATGTCTTATGTTCATTGACGGCTTTTAGTATTTGATCTATTTTGTCAGGACCTTGGTTCTCTTCTACGTCACCACTCAGTTGCAATAACAAAAATATCACGCGAACACACTGCAGGTAGCAAAACAACATGTGCTGTGGGCTTGGCAGCACAACTAGTCCAACGTAACTAGTTTTAGTACATTTAACAAAGGACTGTTTATCACCAACCTGTATAACGAAGAGCACGTAGTTTAGCATGATGCTCCGAACGGTGCCACCAAGCCCAGTGAAGCACGCGCGGGACATGTTCAGCTTTTTATGCAGTCCCGTTGATGTGCCAGATGTTGCTAGTGCGCCAAAAGGTTCCTCGGGACGTGACGTGCGAAGCGTCGCATCATGATGGGGTTCTTTCTGCCATGCTGATAGCGGTAGCAGCATCGTCCCAAGTTGCATTTGTTAGATACTTGATGACATCGGCATTGTGGCGGAATGACCACAGCAATCCAGCAGGGAGGCACGTTCAGTCCGTGAAAGCCAAGGCATACCTGTATAATGAAGAGCACGTAGTTTAGCATTATGCTCCGAACGGTGCCACCAAGCCCATTCATCACGCCCCAAAAACTGGAACTGAACACCTGCACCCTGAAAAACAAAAACACGTGTAACGAACCGACTTTGTGTGTACGCCAGTCAAGTATACTACACCACAATACATGATCACAGCATCGTCTGTGCATCCGCCCCATGCGGTGGTCCATTGGCTAAGGTACTTTGCTGCTGGCCCATAGCTCACAGGATCGAATCCCGGCTGCAGTGGCTGCATTTTCGATGGAGGCTAAAATGCTGTAGGTCCGTGTGCTCAGATTTGGGTGCACGTTAAAGAACTCCAGGTGGTCGAAAATTCAGGAGCCCTGCACTACGGCTTCTCTCATAATCATATGGTGCTTTCGGAATGTCAAACCTCGCATATCATTCAATCGTTTGTCCATTCGTCCATGCATATGTCTGCCCGTCTGCTTGCTCATTAATTTGTTTGTCCATATGCGCATCTTTGCATCAGTCCGTCCAACCATCTGTCCATCCTTTACACTAGTCAGTGACTTGAACATGAAAGTATAGACTTTAGACCTATATTGTTGCCCACTTGTCTTCATTCACTTCGTGAATAAAGACTAGTGGACAACGTTGATGTTTTTTCTGAAGGCTCTCGAATTAAAGTTACTAGTGTCTGTTTGTTCCGTTCCTTAGTTGGTATAAACTTTCAGTCATCTTCAGGGCATTGGGCCTAACTACAGTTGATCTTAACCCTATGGGATGGCTGTGTCGCACGAGTACATATGTAATGTTTGTATGAGTAGATAGCCAGCATCACATCCCCAGTTGATGCTTCACGAACATTCCAGTTTATTTTAAAATCAGTTGCGAGACCTGACGTGGCTCTGTGGCAGAACACTTGATTTCCACACAGAATGCTTGGGTTTGATTCCAGCTGGGACTGACATTTATTCTTTTCATTCATCGGGTTGACGCTACCGATGTCAGGCATTCCCTAACGCTCTCGCATTAAAAGTACCTGTGGCTGTAAGACGTTCCTGGATTTGTAAAAATGGTCAATCAGTTGTCACACATATATACATACTAGTGGCACATACCTGCCTGCAGGTATGTGCCACAAGTCTGGCAGAAAGGTTTTGACAACTTATGTAAGGGGATTGTGACATATTCACATCATGACCAGCGAGTCAAACCATCTTACCTTCTCGAACTAATATTGGTTTACCATAAGTTAGGGGGTGATTATGAGACCACCTAGACATTGTTGGCTAGACAGTCAGACAGACACAGACAGACAGACGTGCTTGCAGTACGCAAAGAAATGCTTCACATTTAAAAGCAGTTACAGTGTGTGAGAAATCTCTCCAACTGCACTCATACTCGACATATTATAAAACTCTTCTGCGGTCAATTTGTGTGGCAATAAGCTCCTTCTAAGTTTACTTAGTAATTGGTTGCAGGTCACTTTTGAATGAAATCACATCTCGAAGGGTCAACTTGTTGGATAGCTGGTGGAACATATCATAAGGCAAGCAGCCCGAAAGACTAGGACAGTAAAGGCATACATACATCTACACAAACTGTTGACTGGCAACTGAAGTTTATTGTGTTGAAGAATGTAAATGAGGCATATCTACATATCAGCCAGCCCTTGTCAGTATAATCAAGAAGAGAAAAAGGAAGGTGTTGTTGTGTGTGTGCTTTTCCTGTCCTGGTATTTTCCCTTACAGTAATGTTACTGTGTGCTGCTGGCAAGTTTGACTGTGAACTCGATTAGCAATAAATAAGTACACAGGGAGACAAATGAAGCTTGGTAACGTTGTTGGGCATGTTGGTATGTCATACTGTAATTCTGTGGCGCACGAAAGAACATGGACACAGAAAGACGTGACACACACAGGTGTTACGTGAATCTTAGGTCTTTCTCTGTGTTTTTTCATGCGCTAAAAGACAACAGAATGGAGCGTAGCTGTTCTTTGATGGATGTCTATGTGTAGTTCACCCACTTCCTGGTAGTCACCATTGAGGCAACATTGGTCCTGAAATGTCAGGTTTTGCTCTTTTAAAGTAAATGTCTGCCTTTTCCTTCTAGTTTTTTTAGGGTTTTCATTTGAATTATTGCCAAAAATGCCTTTTCCTAACAAAGACTTTCATATTTGACGACAGGTAAAGCACAGAAATAAGTCTTTCAGGTGGACTGACTGGTTGAGTGGTGAATTTCAGAAAATAAAGGTAAAAACTAGGCTTGTGTGAATATTAGAAGGTTTCAAATATTCCAACAAATAGTTTCGTATTTGAATTCGAACCTAACTTACCGAAAATTTCTAATTATTCGGGGCGAATAAATAGGTGCATACTAATCTGCACGTCACACCTTGTGAAGGTGGTTTCAGTGCAGTGGAGGGGTGCTGAGCTGTGAAGACACATTCAGGAGAAATTTGCACTGCCGCGATGTTTCACTAAAAGGTTAAGTGGAGATATATATCTTCATATTGATACATTTTTCAAGTCTTTTCAGTTTCAAAGCTTGTTATACAGACCTATATGCTCGAATTAAAGCAATTTTTAAAGGGTGACATACTTTACAGGCTACCACTAGCACTTTACCGAAAGTCATATCCTGCTACTACTCAAACTTGTTCCTTTAATGCAAAATAATGGCATTTGCATGTGTCTTGTTTCAAATTTAAAAATATATTGTACAGGTTAATTAGGTCATAACAAGCACACCCATTTTTCTTTTTAATATGCAATACATATATTATTCGATTCAAAATTGTTCAACCAAACATTATTATTTGCTTTGAACCAGAAATTCCCTATTTCCACAAGCCTAGTAAAAATAGTGATTGTTGAAGGTGAAATTTGAATGGACAGTGTGCAAATTTTTTGAGAATTGCCAAGATTGATTATGAAAAAAAATTGCAAAGTTTGGTTTCTTAGAGGTGCATCTTTTTCTCTTTTTCACCAGTGTTTCGTTTTGTCGTGTTGTTGACTACTATTGGCGGCATGCTTGAGGCCATCCGATACCGGGCAGGCATGCTGGAGATTCTCGACCAGCTGCGGCTGCCCCACGAGAGCCACTACCTGACTCTGCCCGATGCGGCTGCAGCCTGGGAGGCTATCCACTCCATGAAGGTTGGTCATCTCTCCCTGAATAGAAATGAGAGTACAATTACATTTTTTATTACAGCACAAAACTGACGAAGATAGAACTTGAATGGGCTGTAACCTTAAAATACACGTGTACCAACTAGCCCAGCATTCAATACTATTGCAAAGTACAATTAACTTAAGATGAGACAATTAACACATTGGACAAACGAAAAAGCACATTGTAATGCAACATCTTCAGTCTATATCTGGCTGCAAATGTGCAAACAACCGATGCTGTTTGTTTTTCTATTATGATAGGCAGTTTTCTAGCACAAAGCCCACATTTCGGCACTATGGTCCCCGTTTTAGTAGGCACACAAACAATTAACGCCATTTTTATACCTTTACCCACAGTGATCTTGCGATTGGGCCGTTGTGAGTGCTCCCATTGGATTTTGCAAACAACCTTTTATTGGAGCAACCCACCACAGTGGTCTCGTGGCTAAGGCACTTAGCTGCGGTCCCGCAGGTTGCGAGATCGAATTTAGGCCGCAATGGGCGCATTTTTGACGGCGGCGAAAACGCATAAGGCCTGTGTGCTTAGATTTAGAGGCACGTTAAACAACCGCAGGTGGACAAAATTTCTGGAGCTTCACTACGGTATTCCTGAAAATCATATGCTGGTTCCGGGACATTAAATCTCAACAATTACTTTATGTGAGCATTTTTCTTTACTTCATTTCAATATACTGGAGACCAACTTGGTTCGAGCTGAAGTAGCAGTACACGTAAAGAAGTACAAAAGATAGCTCAACGCAGGCAGTGTTGAATTGAAGGACTGCTCAACAGCAGTGTGGCAATGCACACTGCAACAAAAGTTGAACAACATAAGACAGTAATGGCATAACACTTAGTAACACTGTAATACCGAAAAAATAAGCACAGCATAAGCAGGAAAAATACCTATATATATTTGAAGAAATGCTCAATCTGGTGACTAAATAAAATTTGGCAACATTAATACTGCATCTACAATTCTGTTCCAGTCTGGTATAGTTTTGGGGAAATAACAGTTTTTAAAAGCTTTAGTTTTTGAGAAAATCATTTGCACTGAATGAAGTGTGTTTTGTTTGTCGAGTTCTTACAGGACAGACGTGTGGCACATTTGTTATGTCGATCCCTGTTACAGCGAACTCGGATATATCGAATTATTCACTATATCAAACAGTTTATACATGCTCTTCAATTTCTCATTCATAAGTATGAGACTGCTGCACATGTACTACACTCTAACTTTGATATTGTTAAGTTTAGAAATGTGTTTATTACGCTGTGGCGTACTGGTAGACTTGAAGGGGTAGTGCACCGGAGGCCTATCTCACTAACCGAATGTCCTGTTCTCTAATCTGCCTGTTCCCCGCTACCCAAAGGCTCATACCTGAATCACATATGCGTAACATTTCCCTCCGCGCAGACGAAGCCCACCGGGCGAGTTAAAGAGTCTCTCTGGGAATATAGCACCTAAAACCTGCTATATGGACAAGTTCAGTCTTTGCAGATCGTCGGCCATTTGAATGAAGACGTGCTACGCAGTAAGTTACATCGCTTATGCGGTCTAGAACAACATAAGGTCCCGCATAGTGTGCCAGCAATTTTTCACACAACCCACATTTCCTATTTGGCGTCCACAGCAACAATTGGTCTCCGCAATTATACGTCATGTGACGGCGTTGACGGTCAAAATGTGTCTTCGAGCGATCTTGCGAAGCGAGGTTGTGCAGGTAAGCAAGACGCCGGGCTTCTCCTGCACGACAGACGATCTCGGATGTACCGTAATCATAGTGGTCCATAAACGGGAAGACGGTATCTAGGGTATGGCGAGATGGCCGAGCATACAGAAGAAAAAAACGGATTGTAGCTGGTAGTCTCATGCTGTGCGGTGTTAAATGCGTAAGTGATGAAAGGTAGCACGCCATCCCAGTTCTTGTGATCTGCTGCGACATACATAGAAAGCATGTTCGTGAGAGTCCTGTTAGTTCGTTCCGTCAGGCCGTTTGTTTGGGGATGATATGGCGTAGAGTGCTGAAAGTTTGAAGCGCATAGACGAAGCATCTCTTCCGCCACGTCTGCAGTGAATTGTCGCCCACGATCACTGATAACAATTTTAGGAGGTCCATGTCGTAGAACTACAAAACGCAGCATGAATAAACACACGTCAGCTGCAGTTGCCGATGGTATAGCAGCTGTCTCGCAGTACCGTGTTAAGTGATCGGTACATACAACTATCCAGCGATCGCCATTAGAAGTCCTCAGAAAGGGACCTAGAAGGTCAATCCCAACTTGCTCGAATGGAGTTCTAGGGGGGCGGGAATACGATGTAGTCGCCCTGGAGGAGCACTGGTCCCTGAACGTAACATCCTATTTGTAAAACGCCCCACTGAACAGAAGTCTATAAAGGGCATCTAGTCTGACAAAGATTGCTCACTTTTTTGGCTGCGCTTTAACAATGTGATCTCTCCTCATGTGCAGGTGATGATAAGGCAGTGTAATTCATTGGTTGCGCATTGTTTGTGAGTACACTGACACGTGATATGCGATCTCTTGTAGGTTGTAACGCGTGGACTCAGTGTTAAAAAAAAAAAACCAAGCCGAGGGACCCAAAGTCACATCAGTGCAAAATGGCTCGGCAGCCTTGTCACGATGTGTGCATTCTCTTCCTTGTTTGCTCATGCCATGCGGGCATGAAAAGCACGGCATAGTGACGTATTTTTGACGTTTTTGGTTACAAAATACACTTCTAGGAGTTGTCATGACCAAGGAACATGCTGGGGCTTGGGCGCACTGGCAGGTAAATGGAAGAAGCAGAGAAGAAAGAAGCAGATAAAGAACAGCTTTCCCAATGAACAGGCGTCTGATTCCTGACAATGGCGCAATCTTCAAAGCAAACTGTACCTTGAAGCGGAACCTTTCTGTCTATATGAGTCATCACCATTGCACATCTCGCTATCGAAGGAAAGCCATTCACGCTTCCTTCATGATAGAGCCAGCAGCTTGACCACTTCTGCAGCTACCCATCATACCTTTCATGGATGGCGTCCATGCCTCCTCGACGGTCCCAGGGTACCACTTGGCATGTCGCAGGCTACTGCCTTCTTCTCAGTATGCGCAAGGGGTACTCTCATCTGTGAACGTCGCGCACACCGACATCATCACAGAGCTTATGTGTGCCATCAGGCGAATGACTCAACAGCTTGACTGTTTGGCGACATTGAGCTCCAGCTTTCAAGCAGCCACCTTACCACCTCCGGTGATTTCGAATCTTGCAATTCTCCGGTTGGTTCACAGCGATGCACGTGCATGGTTAGAGGTGGTAAATGCACTCGGCTCTCGCCATGCATGGTCTGGAGATCACAAATTGTTCATTGCCATAGACCATCTATGATGCGAGGCTAAGGCATGGCACAACTACGATGGCATCAAGCGACTGTCATGGCCGACATGGTGTGCAGCTCTGGTTGTTCCTCAGCCCTAAGCATTACAACGCCGCCAACGAAGCTTACACATTGTTTAGAGAAGTCGAAGCTCAAGAAGGCTATCTCCTCGAGGCTGAAACTGCGAGCTACAGCTCACCGGCAAATACCTGCGCAGCCGGACTTGTGCTCAAGATGTTCGAACGGCCTCGGCAACTGATGCCAAAACATCCCTGTCAGTGGCCCAGAGTGGTTCCTATCCACATCTATTGGGAAAGCTTTCCCCATACTCATCATCACTCAGGCACTTGAAGTCATCACGCTTGTCGTACTAAATGCCCTAATAAGGCACCCGTATCTGTCCACGCATGCTACTAATAAGGTCGGTGCCCTACCACTCTACAATCCCGGCGTATCCAGTGATTCTGGCAAGACCGCCCTTGACCGGGCGGACTTACATGCCTGGCCACCAAGGTAGTTGTTGGAAGGCGAGCACTTGGACATTTTTTACGCTCAAAGTGTTCTAAGGAGAAGATGCCGACATGCTTGTGATTACTGTGGTCAGTGTTATCGAGGACTTCATGGTGGAGCCTGAGTCCTCTGCTGGTGATATGAATTCTGAATAGTGCAGCTCTAATGTTTGCAGCTCTTTGTCAAGGGCTGCTACTTTGAGCACCTCGAGCAACACACAGAGCTACCACAAAAGCATAAGGGGCATTAATCATCAGCTCAGATACTCGTCGCCACTTCTTAAGTAACAGGTGAAAGCTCACACCGCCGCAGCTCGACCCTTCATGAACGGCGCGCTTCACTCAAGAAATTGCGACATTCAACAATAGCAAATACGGTGTCTTGTTCTGTTTGCACAACTATGGCGGAACTAATGTCAACTGGACTTGTGGCAACCTGGAAACTGTCAGGTACTACCGCCAGAGACATCGTTGGCAAGTCACACTGTGGAAAGGACCGGCCACAGCGACAGAGCCAATTGTGACTTCCAGAAAACACGGAGGATGATCTTCAAGCCGAGGCACATCGTGGCTGGGACCGACTTTCGCGATTCAGCCAGTGCCGGCCACCAAAAGCATTGACGGCTGCTCCGCACACTTTGTATACAGGCCACTCATCGTTGGGGATGTGGCAAAGCTTGCTCAGCTCATGGATAGATCGCAGGTCTGGTCCCTGTTTGGGCTATAGAGACCTGTCTTCCAGCTGAGCGATGCAAGTTGTAGCTCGGAGCCCGGTCTAAATGAACCTAAATAAAGCATTCATGGGGAAGTGTCACGACCAAGAAAGACGCTGGGGCTCGAGCCTGTGAGTAGCTAAATGAAAGAAGCAGAGAATGAAGAAGAGGCAGATAAAGAACAGTCTGATTCCTGACAGAGGTTACGTTAACAAAGAAAATGAGCCCTTAAAACTTGGACTTTCCTTCATTCATAGTGAGAGTCTCATTCTGGCAGACTTGATGCCTTGGGGTGGAATGCGAGGGAATTCTCGGTCAGCTGCTCTCGCATAATAGCATCACTTACTACGTGACGCCAAACAGACAAAAAGAAGTGTTCCACACTTGCT